TACATCTTTGGATAAGAAAGTAGTGGAAGTATTCTATACCAGATGAGTATGGATAGAATACTTGGACCAGACATATGCCATCCATTTTATCCAAGGATGGTGGCTAATGAGCTATTGCCTACTTTCATAGGTGCCCTATCTTTTTGGTGAGAACAGTTGCTCAAACTCCACTGCCCATGGAAGCATGGATGGTGGATGTTGGGTAAAAGTCCCTGAATACTACAGTCATATGAAGTACAATATCCGGTCCCAAAAAGTTTATACCCATCATCTTCAGCTGTTTCATAAAACACACACACACACAGAAAAGAAAAACTCAGAGAACAAAAAAACACACACACACAGAAGGGTAAAAAAAAAAAAAAAAAGAAGAAGAACCTCATCATCTGTCTCTCAGAAATTGGCGTCCTTCCATTTTGTTGCAGAATGGAGACAATGCTCGTGTACTGCAAATCTTTGACGAGGAAGCACAGGCAATGCAATCAGCACGCAATTCATCAATGATGCTCGACGATGCCTATACCAGTGGGGTTTCAATCCTTTCCAAGTATGCTGAACAAAGAGATCGGTTGAAGGTAAACCCTCATTCTTGATCTTCAACTCTATAAGTTCATTTAATGCAATGAGTGTGCCAATCCCCGTGTTTATGCTGATCTCTTTGTAGGATACTCTCAGTTCACAGCTCCTGGGTTTCTTCTTTTGTTTTCTGGAAAATGGTTTGTGCTTTTATGGGAGAACATGATCTGTTGTAATTATCTTGTTTTGGTCTTAAACTTTGGCAAATATATCCAAATGTTAGAAGACCTTTGAGCCTGTCAAAATATAAACGAAATTCATCTGAGTTTTCCATATTCAGGAGATAATTATGCATTTCTGCTGAATCTCGAACTGAATTTGGATTGTTCATTCTATGCAAATATTTGCAAGAGCTACAGAGAACAAAATCAAACCTAGCTATCAAATTTTGTATGTATGGTGGTATTTGAAAAGCTTTGTTATCCAATGTAGGCTTTTGATGATAAAGGGCATGCAGCCAAATGTTGTCCTAAACTCAGTGCATTCTAGACTAATATTTGCAAGAAATACGGAGATGAAATTTACTTGTGCTTACTCTTTGCGAGCCTTTGTTGTGTTCAAAAAGCTTAGCTTTTAGTTCTTTTGTGTGTGTGTGTGTGTGACATTCTTCAATTTGTTGGGATTGGAATTTTGTTACTTACGTAATTTATATCTTGTTTTGTGGGTACAGCGAGCTCATCGAAAGGCTTTGGATGTGCTCAACACTGTGGGGCTTTCGAATTCAGTTTTGAAGCTTATTGAGAGGCGGCACCGTGTCGATAAATGGATTGCATATGCGGGTATGATTGTTACGCTCATTGTCGTTGTTGCTTTTTGGCGATGGACCCATTGATCATGCGTTTTGCTTTATCAAGGTTGTTTTTGTCCTTTCAATTGTATATTCACAATTCAGCATCAAATTGACTAAGTTTGCATGAGGAAGGAAAGGAAAAATTCTCTCTCTCTCTCACACACACACACACGTATCAGCCTCCTGTTAATTGCTATTTGCGAATGGACTTCTGTCCCTGATAACTAGGTGCTTAACATATTGCAACATATATTATTCATCCACGGTATATGAAACAGATCAGATGCATGACTAGTGTTTGAATATGAAATATTCTGCTAGCAACGCCCCACAATAAAGAACAGGGAAATGCCGTCCATTAGTTTTAGCTGCTTTGCTCTTTTTAACTACAAATCAGCATAATGTTTTGGGGTTCATTGCACCATTGATGTTCCTACTGCATAAAATTTTCATTCTCTGATATCGAAATTGAAAATGTCCCGGATCATTTGAAAACACTTGTGGCCATTGGCCAAATGAGCTGCCTATGGAATCCAATGAGCCCTCTTCAATTTGACATGGCTACACTTGTACTCTTTCCTGCACATTAACAGACCAAAGACATTAATGTTGTCTGAAAAGTCAATTTTGAATTTCTAGTTTCTAATACTTGAATCTATGATGAAACGTACTGTGTCAGAAAGGTGAATTTTGAAATTCTAATTTTTTATGCTTATATATGTGTTTAATGCTAACACCAACTCGTTAACAAGTCCTTTTTGAAATAGAACATGCATGATTGCATAGAAGTGTGACTTAACGTACATAATGGGACTCCCTAGGAGATTGAGCATGCTAAAGCCATCTAAAAGAATCTATACATCGTGGACGTATATCCTATCTAAATTGGGGATAATGTACTACTATCAAGTGTGTTGTATGCTAAGGTACTCATACTTGCCAACCACCGTTCAAACTTGTCAACGAATCGTAAGGGTGCACCGACACCCCGCTGATGAAAAAGATGGATTAAGAGGGACAAATGCTCATCAATGGACAGTCATGTCCCTCAAGTTCCTATGCCTCACCAAGCAATATAATTAGATAGTGTAGATGTCAGGGTCCACGCAATAACAGGTATAGGCCTTGACACCTGTACACCTCACCTACAAAAATATGAAATATGCAGTGAGCAACAAATTCAAGCTACAGGGGTTCAAAAACTGCATCCTTGCAAGTTCACAACTTGGCTATTAATTTCCCTCCAATATTGTGACTATGATATTGTAAAATAGGACCGCATCGAGTATCAATTCATGTATGGAATTGTATATGGTGAGACCATTTACTTTTGATACAGGTGGTCACAATTATTTACAGCCATCTGATATGAAATCTGATAGCTTGGATGTGTCATGAAGTTCAAGAAAAATTCGTTTGAAGCTTGAGCTTGGTCAATGAAATAAATTTAGCCATCTAATTTCACATTGGTTAAGATTAATTTTGACCCCCTTATATCAAAGATAAATGGTCTCATTGTATACATTTCCTTCATGTATTGTAAGTAAGACAACTTGAGAATTTCATAAGGACTATTTCAACACGCCATTAATCCAATCCATAGTTCAAAATAACTATGATCATTGGAATGGTAATTCATTGGACTGGAGTTGGGAATTGGCCTATTTTCTCTAAAATGCAATATTCTTTTTGTATAATATATTTGTTTGATAATTTAAATACTCAAACAAATATATTATAGATGGGGAAGATGATCTGTGCAACTTTTTATTTGTTCTCTATTTTTTTGTTTTCGACAAGATCCTCGATTCGACCATATGAAATGCCTAATTTACAAAGTGAAATGAAGGGCTGATCCACCCAAAGAATCCTCATGATTCGCAACTTGAAATGAAGGGTTGATCCACCCAGACCATCTGTTTTCTAAAATATTTGTCATATCCTTGCTAAATCTACTAGCCATAATTATCAATCCGATGAACTGCAGTTGCAACTATTTAGGGTTGGCTTTTAATAGGGATGTGGCAAAAAATGTCTGTTGATTAACAACCTAACATCAGAGCTCCAAGCTGGGACACAACCTATCAATCTTAGACAGCGCTATTACTAAAACCTTGTGCACCCAAACAAGGCTTAAATTTGTAAGAAACAAATGCACAAGGGAACTTTGGGCTAGTTACTTTCCTCCATAATCTAGAGACCGGGCACAACACTTGAACCATGGACATTAGTCTTTCGGTGCTGCATGGCGAGGAGGCAGACCAGCTTGCCCAAGAGAGCGTATTATGGAGGCAGACCAGCTTGCCCAAGAGGGAGGGAGCGCTCTTGTAATTTATTCTTTCTTCGTGTTATTTTCTTCATGTTTTCTTTGTAACTCTTCATTACTCCATGAAACTTTCTACTTACCGTTCCAAAAAAACACTTAGAAATTGGCTATTTTTGCTTGCGTAACCTTTCAAAAAATGTGTAGCTTTGTTGAAATCTCACAGGAATTTCTGCAACAAAGTTTTTTACTATAATTCTTTGAATTAAACATATTATTACAAATATCAAACATCTCTCTCTCTATCTCACACAAACACACAATTGGCCTGGAGATTAAAAAACTCATCCATAATTGGGTTATATACAGTAGACAAACGGTTTGAAATATTTTTGTAGGTACAAGTTCAAACGTAACGAGAACTCCAAGTACACTTTGCTTTTAAGAAACTGATTCAAATTAGTTCCTTCTTTATTTCAGCTCAGAACAATAATTTGTATAGGAAAATGGTTTGAGAGGGCCACATCCCTATCAAAATAAGTGAAGCCTCACCTCATAACTTATCGAAAATTGCAATTCAAGTATCAGAAAACTTTAAATCGATCATCTCTGCTTGACCATTAGGGTTGTGAAAAAAAAGAGGATTTCAAGCTCTAAAAATAGTGTATGTTGAAACAAATTATTCGGACCGTCCATTTCGCCCTAAAAATAAATGTTCCCCAATCTGCAAAATCTGCATCATTTTTTGAATTTCAAATTTTATTGTCGGTATTGAAAGTTGATTTTAGATCCATCATAGAAATTTCCATAACTGAAAGTGCTTTCTAGACAAAGATTTGAAGTGAGGCTTTATTTTGTTTTCATACAGCCTAGGCTTTATAAAAACTTCATCCGTAATGGAAAGTACACTTTGAACTTTTAACTCACTTTCAAAAGGACTTGGTTTCTATGCGGCCAAGCCCGCATATGTAGAAATGTAGGCCTTTTAATAAATCTTTTTTGAGATGGATTTTGAGACTTAATTTTTATGGACATGTAATCTCTAACAGGGAGATCATGAATATGAAAAAATAAATAAATTTTAAAACTAAAAATAATAATTTTAGTAAAAAAAACATTTGAATCGGCAGTTTCCATTGTTTTTAGATGAAACACCTACTTGCATCCATCTTTAAGATGGATACTTTACATTTTCTGGAGCACACATGTAGAAATGCGGTCGAGCCCGCATGAAACAATTTTCCATACTAAAATTATTTCAACTTCTTGTCCCCCCTCCCTCCCTCTCCTTTTCCTTCTTTCTCTCTCAAAACTGTGGCAACTTTGGTGACCCATTCTGAGATAGCTAGACAAAAATGGCAAAAATTACAGTTACAGTTCAATAGGAAGTTTGTATTGCCAAGTCTCAGAAATACCATAATAAATAATACATCTCCCTACTGTTTCCCTCGAGGAATAAACACAATCAATCCAGTTATACAATAATCAAACATAATACCAAAAGAACAAAAGAAAAGCTGGGGAAGAGAGAAAAAATTACACACATGTGACTGAGAGAGCATAAATTACAGAATGCGGAAAATATATAGCAAAAATTGCCCCATGCAGAGAAAGAAAGAGCATGGGTTGGAGAGAAGAGTGATCAAATTACAGACAAAAATTACAAACAATGACATAGAAAGGGGAGAGAGTGCTCAAAATTACAAACTATGGCATTGGAGAAAGAGGGAGGGAGGGAGGGAGGGAGAGGGGGACAGAGAGAGAGATTCACCGGGAATCTGTGATTTCCAAAAGGGTTCAAGCAAATGCAGCCCCCGTAAATATGCTGCAAGACTGTAACGTCTTTTTAGAATCTTCCGATACGAAAAACTAGTTGCAAGCCGATTGATGCCTAGGATTTATTGGCCTGTAGCATCAGAAATCACTTAAAAACTCTTATCTCTAAAGCATAGTTTTCAAGACCGGACCAAACCACCAATTGGTGACTTAGCCGACAGGTCAAAAGCGAAATTTGGGTTTGGACGAATAGTCAAAACCAATTTTCGACCCGTTTTGGTTAATTGGACCAGCCGGTTCTGACCGGTTGGACTAGTTAAACAAAGTTGAGAATTTTATTGTATTATATTTATATTTTTAAATTATTAAATTTATTTTTATTCTTTTTTGAAAAATTTGGTCGAACAGGCTTGATCTAACCAAACCGTTCACCGATTCATTGGTTGGTCCAATCATGACACTACTCCAAAGTGTCTAAATCTCCAAAGCATCCTTAAAGTACAGAGAAGAAAATTTTGATCAAGTTCATGGTCAACACTTGCCTTCAGATACTTCTTGTGAAGATTCATTGCATCTTTGCAAGCCTTTTTGGCATCCAATTTTCCAGTTATATCGTTCAGAATCTGCTTTTAAAATCAACCAAAAATCCTTCTTCAGAGAAGAGTTAACAGCTATAATTGAAAGTAAGCCATATTCATATCAAGAGTTCACAAGAGAGAGAGAGAGAGAGAGAGAGAGAGAGAGTTAGTGAATCTTGTATTTGTCTTAAAATGTGATATCAAGACACCACGATGCACTACAGATAATTACAGATTTTCCAGAAAGAGAAAGGTCGAAACATTTTTAAAGACATGATCCAGAATGCTATCTTCTGCATACGTCTGCAAGGCGCATGTGTTTGTGTGTGTGTGAGAGAGAGAGATGTATGTGTCTTGTGAGAGAGACAGAGAGAACTTTGACGACATCATCAAGACCATGAGAGAGAGAGAGAACCTTGACAACATCATCAAGACCACTTGCTTCCTTCAACAGCCTGGAGCTCTTGGCTTTGAGGACACCGGCAACTACGAAAACCGATATTGGGGGACTCTCTTTGTTCTTCCCATTCTTCATGTTCTCTCTCTCGAACTTCCCATACTGTTTCATCTTATCTTTCCCTTTTGCCAGCCCACTATTTAAAGCAGCCGAACCCAACACTTTGTATGAAGAGAACAGGTTTGGGTCATACTCAAGAGCCCACATCAGCTGCAACACATGGAAAATAAGGGACTTTAACATTCAAAACCACAGACACCAAAGCCAACACTAAAGATTTTTGAACCTGTAAAGAGAATTCATTGCCATTTTTCCCTCCATGGTTAACAAGATGCACAATCTTTGAAGACGAGGTTCCTTAAATATGGTCATGTAACGAAACCTCACTTTCCAAGGAAAAATTAGGGGATCTTACATTCAAAACCAGAAAGCAACGTCAACCCTGCAAAGAGAATTCATCTCCCTCCCTCCCTCACTGCTTTTATTTCAAAAGACCAACACTCTGAATAGTTTTAATTCAGGGCCAAAATCCTAAAGCATAGGTTTCTGCAGCATCAGAAAACCAGGTTCCACTAACTTGGATAGAGAAAGAACTGGCATGAAACAACATACTTTGTGAAATGTATCCTAAACCTAGGTTTTCCAACAGTTAGATTACTGGATTGTTTTCCCTACAATGAACAAATTTGGAAGATATTGGTAATGGCCTGATAGACTGCATCTACCTTTCAAATAAATGTGCTCCCAAAGAAAGAATTCAAGCTAAAGAACAATGTAGGAGGGTAAGAATCAAATCAAAGAATTCAAGCTAAAGAACAATGTAGGAGGGTAAGAATCAAATCACTATCAAAATTTGTGGAAAAAACTGATAGGTGAAAACACTTTTGCAGCATTACTCATGGCAAATGCCATATTCATTAATGCTGGTTAAAGGAACCCCAAATCCACTTCTTTCTATTAAAAACTTAAATGCTCACCTCCCAAAGAAACAGAGAATCCCCAAATGAGAATTCTCTTCGGAAAAGGACCATCAGCATGCGAAATGCAAACAAGTAGTTCCCTCCATCCAGCATCTCTGAAATTTGACCATTCCATCGTCATTAGTTCCAGCATGCATCGGTAAGTCATCCTAGAAGAACTGAAAAAGACAAAACATAATTGGAAACTAATAATAAGACACTTCTTGCCAATTTTAACTGCGCTAATATGTGAAATAAAAGAACGCGTAGAAAGGACCTCCATGTGTTTGTTCCCCAGCAACTAATGGTGATGGTTGGTTGCATTAGATAAAATCCTTAAGAGTGATCTGCCTTCATAAGGGAAGCATAACATACACAGCTTGTGTATGGTATATGATACAAACAGGGGCATCTATGTTCCATCCTCAAATGACAGACTACGGAGATTTCAGTAACTATATCAAGAACTCTAGGTAATCTCCAATTTCCTTTGTTGAGAAGAGTGGATAACCTAGATATGCACCATAGACCTAGATGTGTGTTATCTGGACACTTTGAAAATTTCTTTTTCTTTGGACTCTTGGGATTTAGAATAGTGTTAAAAAGACCAGACTGGTCCAACCAACTAGACCGTCGACCGGTGCCTTGGCTAGTCTAGCAAACGCAAAAACGGTTTGATTGAAAACAAGTCAAAACCAATGTTTGACTGATTTTGACCAGTCAAACCAGCAGGTTTTGATCAGTTAGATTGACCAAAAAATTTGGGCAACTTTATTTTAACGATCTCTTCTTTTCTTTTTTTGAGAATGTTAACAATATCTTATTTTAAACCATTATTCCTTGTTTTTCTTTGTTTTTCTTTTAAATCCATACCAACATGTTCAACTTTTGCCAGACTGGTTTTAACTGGACCGGACCTCTGACGTGATCGGTGGCTAGTCTGATTTTCATAACACTGATATAGAAGGTGGCACAATATCCCTTGCGTTTGCTTAACTCAAAGACCACATGCTTACTTGCATGGATTGTGATTATATTCCTAGGGAATGATTCCTGTTAGCAGTTTTTCAGAGTATTTCGGTAAAAAGCATGAGATTTTTGAGAGATAATCCAAATAGATCAGTGGTGGCAGATCTTATTAAAATGAGTATTGCTATAGGTTATGCATTAAATATAGAAAAATTATGGGGACTCTAGGGGAAGGATCTTGTGTGGGATTAGAGGAACGCCTTTAAGCAAAAGTTTAATTGAAAAGGAGCTACTTAATATGTTGCATACATAAAACAAACGTGAAAAGAAAATTAAATTAAATACTTATCATCTAAAAATAAAAATAAGCAAGCGAACAGCAACTTCCAAATTATCAATCAGGAAGGGAACTATCAAAACTTAAAAGGAATGAAAATAAAATCTAAAGTTTTTCTTTCTCTTTTTCCTCTCTAAGCAATACTTTGCTCTTGCATGCTGCTCGCATTTGGGACTTTCCAATTTTAAGAAATTTCTTTTCTGAGTAAACAATGCCTAGGAATTTTCTTTAGATCTGCAGCATTCTATAAACTTCATAGAAAACTATTGTAGAGTAATCTAGAAATGGATATTCTAATAGAGGAAACAACTCATATAACCCAAGTTATCAAACCCGAAAACTATTTTTGTTAAAAAAACAAAAACATAAAACACAGCATCAATGACTCTTACCTAAGTGTTGATGAAGCTTGGGATCAAGAGTTCGGATTACCGATGCTAGCTTATCAAGTTGTGATTGAACCCCAATAGAGCTTACTGTGCATCTAAAATTTCCTCGCTTCAAAAGATGCAAATGAATAACAAATTACAAAGAATGCTCCCATAGATTAATAAAAAGTTCAGTGACTAGATGATTTACATGTAGAGAGAATGTTGCATAGGCAAAACTATAATTGGCGTGACAAACAACAAAAATGAAACCAACTTGAGAAAAACTATTGAAACATACTCGGCTTTAAAATATTTATAAAACTCACAGCATCTTAGTAAATTGAATAAAACCGCCCCAACTATGAACAAGTACATACAAATCTTTCAATGGTGAAAGAGTAGTGATCCCGTAATATTGCAGGACCTATCTATGTAATATTCTTGCTTTAGAAATATGCGTCCATGACTTTATTGAGCAATAGAAGTACTTCCTCTCTCTTGATACACACACACACACACATACATATAGGATGTCTACAGTTAACAACCTCTTGAAATAAGTTAGAATAGGTTGTGATTGGTGTATTTACCAAAAAGCCAATTCTTGTTGTTCAAAAAATGTATTTTTTATAAGTAAATCATTATGGTTATACCTTGGAACTTTATTAATATAATACCCTTGTCCTTTAGTAAAAGTTTAACCTACACTATGAAAAAGATAGCAAAAGTACCAATTGCCTGTTACTGATAATTACACACGCACCCTTAATAAACAAAATACCAAAAAAAAGTAACTTCTTTCAAAAAAAAAAGAAGCTACATATTTGGTAAATCTACCCTTTAAAACCAATTGACGATGCACAGTAGCCTTCCATCTATAGGAAGGGGAGGGATGTGGGGCCAAGATCAATTGGCACCAATGGAAAGGCAGGGTTCGAAGAGATCCACATTCATCAACAACTTGTCACTTCTATAAGAAAACAGGTGAAGAAAAGCTTCTCCTTTTTACAAGGAGATAGTTTACTCATATTTTTAAAATGAGGCAATTTGATTGCATATCCAAGTGAGCCAGTTAAGGAGGCAAGTAGAACATGGCACTCTGCAAGGCCCCAAGAAATGCTTGTTCTGAAAAAATAAGAAAATTCCTAATCATGGAGAAAATCCAACAGTTTTAGCTAAGAAGTTAAAATGGATTCTGAGTTTCTGTCTACTATATTACTCAGTTGAGGCGTAGTAGCCAGAATAACGGCAATTTGAGACAATTCTGTACAAGAATTGGACAATATGAGCCATCTGATACACAGCTGGGGGTCTTTCATTTCATTTATAAGCACCAACATCATATCAATAGAAGGCCCTCCATGAGTGCAGTCCAATAACATGAGTCACAGCTCTGAAATATCTTAAAAATTTGATGACGTTTCAGAAATACTGATGGCAAATTGGTGGATTATTCAAACCATTGGCACAAAGAAATTTCTAATTTCCCTATAAAATGATGACCGCAACTTAAATGACACTAAGGTTTAAAAATAATAACACAAGGTTAACAAGAATAGAACACCATGTTCGACTCTAAGTAGAAGATACAGAGTCATCCCTGATGACTTATTCAGCGAATGCAACTGCATATATTCCTCATAATAGCATTATAAAAAATTAGGTCTTCTAATCAGCTTTGATGACAAACTTTCCAGCTCACCATTTGCAACCAAAAAAAGTAACTAGTGGCCACATAAAGATAACACAATCTCTAAAAGGTATAGTGCTACAAACACTTAAAGTAGTTTATAAAATGTCCCCAGGTAAGGGAAAGAGCATACAAATCAAAGGGCAGAAACCAGGCCAAAAACAAGTAAGAAACATTCCTAGTATATAGGTAGCATTGAAGTTGACATTCAAGGTCCACAATTAGGTAGTAATGAAGTTTGCATTTAAGGCTCCACATTCCAGGTTACAAATAAGAGGACATGTTGTCAAATAAATCTCTAATCTGGAATGTTTTAGGTCTCAAGCTGGGCTGATATTCAATAAACTACTTACTCATGAAAGGTTACAGGATTTCTCATTAGTTTTTAAGAACCCTCTGTTTCTTTGGTAAGAATTCATTTTTTGTGTCAAGTTCATCAACCCTTACTTAATCTCTGACCTGCAAATAGATTCCAAATACATATGATGGCAACAAGTACATGAAGAGCAAAAGAAGAATTTGCTCAGAAGATGGGCAAGGTTTTAGTTCAATAACAAAATTTCGAAGTATAAATGAAGTCTAAAGTTACATCAATAACAAATTTACAAAGGATAAATGAAGTCCACAGTTATAAATACCTAATAAGGTATATAATTTAGCATAAATATGTATTTGCAACATCATTGGCACGAGAGAGACAGAGAGAGAGGGGGAGAGAGCACACAAGGATCGGTAGGCATACAAGTTTACGCATTAGATGCTCAAAGCACCAAAAGGCATCTGCTTCATTTTCGAGAAGAATAACCATTGGAGAGCAAAGATCACTCATTCCTGATTTGAAAGAAGCCAGAGTAGCAGATTAGATACAAAATCGACTAACGGAAAAAGCTGAAAAATTGCCATGCCTACGGATGAAAACAAGAAATAGGAAAACTTAGGCACAATATGGTAATGTAATAAAATGAATACATCTTCGTAAATTACATATAGAAAATTCTAAATGCCATTCTCACCTTGACAGTAACCAATGTCCTCATCTATCCATGAATAAACTGACAATATATCCCAAAGCCTTGCCAAATTTTCTTGGTTCTCATAAAAGAGCAGTGTCCGGTCAGTGCGAACCACATCCAAACCTACAGGACATTGCTAAGACCATAACAAGCAAATAAAAAGAATATTGCTGGTACACATCAATGCATTTAGGCAAAAATGAAATCCCATCTAGTTTCTAACATATCAAATAGTTTCGAGTAATTTGTAATTAATAGAAAGAAAAAGGCACAACTCTCCTTCCTCATGTCGCTATTCAACTCTGTGTCACCCACAAGGTGAAACCCAGTCTCAGCCCATTCAGCATGGAAATGCTTAAATAAATATTTTTCAGGTAATAAACAGCCACTGCAGATTAGTCCAAGGGGCTCATTAAAGCACAATATACAGTTCTTTATTCTTTGCCATTCTATTCTCTACAAGACACCTTGTCCAAAGAATTTGAATCCTCTCCTAAGCAACATCCATACTGTTAAAAACTTAAAAATATTTTCCCACCTCATCCAATTCTACCAATCATGAGAGCAGACTGTGGCCAACGAGGAAAAGGGTTGAGGAAGAAAGGGATAGAGCAAGCCTCTCCTCCTCAACACAACTTGCGGCCAAGATAGAGAGAATGAGAGTGCGAGAGAATGAAAGAGGAAGAGCAAGAAGAGGCACGAAGCTCTCAAGCAGCTCAAGACCATAAGGAATCTCAGGTAAGCTGATGTTTACATATAGTTACGAGTTCCTAACCATGTAGAACTGGATGTCCTTAATGGATACACAATAAATGAGCATTTAAGAAACAATGTTAGACATGCCAATTGGATTAAGTCCAAGAGTGATGTTACAAAACATATCTATGTCTCAAAACACAAAAAAAGGTAATTCACGTATATAGAAGTCAAAGTGCATCTCAATTCTCAACAAAGAAAGCATCAAATGTCTATACATTAGATGGTCAGTGACTCTTTGAACCAGTGCACCGAGACTCGGTTGAGTCCACTCGGAGTTTCCCCTAATTGAGTGTACAACTCCTGGATATTAAAAAAAATTAAAAGTTTCCAAAAAGAAAAGTTAAAAATGTGGGATTGATGTATACTTTTTTTGTGTATGATTTATATGTTTTAGCTAAGATTGGTGAGTGTTTTTTTGTCACAAATCCCTATTTTTTATACTTCTCTATTTTGGGATTTTTTAAAATGCCCCAACTATAAATCTGTTTTTCCTAAATCCATTTTTCCAATACTTGTTTAGCTTACTGTTTTATTTTGTTTTTAATTTATTTTTTTGAATTTTTCTCATGTTTTCCAATTTCTTGAAGGCTTTTCAGCCCTATGCCGGACTAGGCCTAGTAATTTGCCTCTGCCACGGGGTGAATTCCCTGGCTAAGGCCAGTCTCGGCGCACTGCTTTGAACTAATGTTTCTCTTGTCTTTCCAGTTATTTCAAATAAATTCCTCATGGAACTAAAGCCAAAAACATTGTCATCATACTTGACAAACATGAAAAATTAGAAAATATGAAAAATAAAAATTATTAAAAAAAGACTGATGTCCATTGCTAACAAAGAACCATGTTACCAAACTTCAACAGCATGATAAAATCTATGAATCACCAAGGTTGAATTAGGATATATAACTCTATATATATATATATATATATATATATATTATTTTTTTTTATTTTTTTATTTTTTTTTTTAATTTTATTTATTTATTTTTACAAGGTTACATAGGAATTAGGATGGGTTATCAAAATATTTATTCCTTGTTTTCAATTTGAGTCATCATTATACCTATCTGATGCAAAGTAAGTTTCCATCGAATGATTTTCTTATTCAAAGGTGCATCACTGATAGACACATCCATATTCACAAATCCATCTGCAGCCGCTTTCGAATTCACCCCCTCAAATTTTTCGTCTTGAGAATCATCAAGTGTATAATTATCCCCTCTTTGCAAATTTACAGGCACTGCTTTGTCAGGTTTTTCTCCCACCAGATCTTGAATAGGATACCCATCTTCTGTAATTATAGGTGTTGTTATAACTTTCCCACTGCCAATAACTGCATCCAAATCCTGGCATTCTTTTTTCCACCTCCCATATTGTTCCCTGTTACAAACCAAGACACATGTCATACAAACCTACATGACTAACATTGTTATATCTTGAAGGGATGATTATCATAAATGAATTAAAAAACTTGAGGTGATTACAATGAAATTTCTTTGTTTAATAATAAGTAAAACCGACAAATAGAACAGGTTCCTAGAATGTGTCATGAGCTAATTGTATATTAATAAAATCATTAAAAAATGCTACTTGAAATGTGCACATCTTCTGTCTTGTGACCTAGAGGTGCAAAGCTCTTCTTCATCTCTTGATCATTAGTCCGAAGCCCACAATTAACCACCCAAGAAATGAGAGTATATAAATACTCCAAATGTAGGGAGTTTCACATGGGAAAGAACCATCATAAATGTCAAAATATGCCTATATTTTTTAATTAGATAAGAACAAATAAAGGCATTAAAAGGTAAGACAAGGATAATGCCATAGTACATTAACTTTTAACAATTTAGGCCCTTTCACATGCTTAAAATCAAAGGACAAGATAGGCACCTTCGCTGTTGTCTTAATTGATTCCGCTCCTCGTAAGTGCTCTTTGGATCAAAACATCCCAATAGAAACTCCCAAACTTCTCCTCTAATTGATGGATGGACACCCTAACATGAAGAACAAACCACACAAATAAATGCTTTGCAAACATAAACCAGTGAAGAGAAACAGAAATAAGAAACTCCAGAGAAAGGTAGTACTAGCATAGATTCTCCCAGGGAATGACCACTTCAACAGCGTTCACATAAAATAATATTTTGTGGATTGATCAGATTTAATTACAACATTTATTTGTTTCTAAGTAATTTTCAAGTGTAGCACCTGGTCCAAGTCATTATCATTATGCGCTTCAAGAAAATGAGATAAAGGGAGAGGGTAGAGAGGCTAAAACAACCAAACCATGATTACAAATCAAGACTCACTCTAGTACATTCAACTTGGAAATCTACCTAGGTTTTTAACTACTAAAACTTGAAGGAGTCCGATGTTGGCTTCTAAACATGCTCTATCTCAATAAGAACTAGGGCAAGTCCTCAAGTCTTCGGAAAGCCATGAAAAACAGCAAGTTCACTTTTAAGTTTAAAGCAATAAATAACCAATGAGCAATTATACATGATACATGCAATGAGTGGAAATTTTACACACTACATGCAATTCTCAGGGATGATGTAGCTTTTGTCCATTTAATTTTTAAAATTAAAATATGGATACAGGTTTGATATCTGAAATATTTCCACCATGCTTCCAAATCCTAATAAATAAGCGACAACTATGCCAATCCCAACATGCACCTCAAACATTTAAACATTTATAGAGAATAGTTGTTGAAATATTATTCCATCCCCATTAATCAGGTAACCAAAGATTTAAGTTATTTTCTATTATATCCATATAATGGGTCATATTTCCCACAGCTCATCGGCAATGGTCAAATGTGTTACCATGGTCAACATGCAGGCCTGCAAGTTCTTACTCGAAGATTATGTAACCACCAAAAGAGGCAGCATTTGAAAATAGCACAAGCTCCTAAGATGATGGCCACTAAATATCCACATCCACCAAGAAACATTCAAACTTTTGCATCCTTGTCATAAACTTTTATGCCACTGAAATAAATAAGGAAAAATTTCGTACAGACCCCTAATTCCCCATCTTATTTCACGGTAGACCCTCATTCTATTTTTTTTCAAGCCGCATAAAAAAACCCTCGAGTATTTCACCGTACCCCTTCATCTCTTCTCTCCCACGTTTATTCACTTTTGGCCACAAACTAGCCCCAACAAATTGTTTATTCTATCTCATTATTTCCTACACTTTACTTCCTAACTAGGTTAAAAAGGTACTTAGTATTGTAGATGGAATAAACAATTAGTTAGG